TGGCTGAGTGTGTCTGGAGTTGTTTCTGCATCTTTTAATCTGTTCCACTAGTCCTCAGGTCTGTTTCTTTGCCAGTACCATGCTGTTTTTATCACAGCAGCCCTTCCCCTGAAGATAGTGCAGGTTGTGATGGGAGTTGATGGTCCCAGGTGATGATCCCTCCAACTTACCAAGTACAGTGGTCTGGTGTGCCTTTATTGTAGAGATTCTCTTTACTTTTCTACTGAGCTTCAGTTTTCATCAAGGAGCCTGAGAAGCCCTTTTTCTGTTACTAACTTCTGCTCTATCTTGTGGTGCTCAGGACAAGGGCCTTTATAATCCCCTGTGCCTCTGTAGTGTGAGACCAGGTAGCAGAAGAGCCGCCGGAAGGCCAGAGGCGGCGGGTGGGGGGAGTGGAACTGGGCCTTGGAGGCGCCCATGAAGCTAAGAGGAGCACCGGATGCGGGGAGGGCTCCAAGCCGCACCTGGGGTCTCACTGTGGTGTGAGCGGGGCCCGGGATGGAGCTGGGGAGCTTCACACTGTTTGTCTCACCCGCTTATGGAGATACAGCATTTTAACAACAGGGGAAAAGTATTTGGGTGCAACAAAGAAGCAATATGAACACAATTTGGCACATTTGTACAATGAGATAAAAATACATGACAGGTTTTTAGTGGAGAAGCCACAAAATAGTTTCGGGGAAAAATGAGGTGAAGAGAAAATTGCTCACATGGATGACCAAAAAGGTAGGAGACAGACAGTAAGGAAGATACATGGGGAAGTATCAAAGACAGGGAGCCAGGGCAATGGAATCTTTTCAGGTATACATGTGTGGACCTTCCAATACCACTTCTAAAACAGATCCTACAGAAACCTTTTTGGCAGGTCCACAATCACCATGTAAGTGTGTACTTAACATTGCCCGAAGACACCATGAAAATGACAGTAGACATCAGGAGACGGTCCACTGAGGACCCGCATGGTTCTCCTAAACCACCTGCAACTGACCTAAGCTTCAAAGGCAAGTGGATGTGAACAGTCCTCCCTCTCACAAAAATAGAGCCTGTGACCTCTCTGGACAGAAATACATGAGTGGGTGAGTTGTTTGAAAAGTTTGTGATAGATGACATTTAATACAGGTGAACAGTATGTAGAGACATTTTCAGTAGTTGACAACCTTGGTGGCTATTGGAGAGCTCTAGGAGGTATGGTCTTTCAAACTTGTGCCCCCAAATTCGTAAGTTGAAACCTAATTTCTAATTTGATGATCAAAGAGGTGGAGCCCTTAGGAGGTGATAAGGTCATGAGGGCTATTGTTTGTCCCTTCTACCAAGTGTGTCAGCAATGAGAAGATGCCATCTATGAGCCAGAGAGAAGCCCTCACTACACAGCAAATATGCCAGCACACTGATGCTGGTCTTCTTAGTCTCCTGATTTATAAATATATTTCTGTTGTTTATAAGCTACCCAGATTATGATACTATTTTACAGCAGCCTAAACATGCACAGAGCCTAGGTTCATGTAATATAGGTTTCTGTTGGCTTATATCGATATGATCACAGATGGAATCATTGAGAAGTGAAAAGAATTTTGACACCCAGGTGTGGGTAACATTCTCCAAGGCATCATTTTTACTTCAGCCTAGGGTAGGGGCTGGTAGGACAAAGAGTGGAGGAATGAAGATATAGTATGTCAGGGAAAAGGAGTCCAGATACATGTGGTGGTGAGAAAAATGGGTGTCCAATGGAAGTTGTACATCCACAGCTCTCTGGGTGTCTTAGTTACTTTTCTCATTACTGACACAAAAGTTAAAGGAAGAAAGGTTATTTTGGCTCACAGTTTGCACAAGTTTCAGCCCATAGATGGCCAGCTTCAGGGCAGGGTGGAATGGCAGAAGGGCATCACAGAGAAGAAATAGTTCATGGCAGGCAGAAGGGAAAAACCAGCAAGCCCAGAAGCAGCACCTGACAAGTGACAGCCACAAGCCTTTTTTCTGTCCCTTACATCCTATCCAGGCTACACACCCTTAGGGCAAGTAGCAGTCACACCCAGGATGGGACACCCTTGATCCCAGCATCACACCATGAATCAATTCCAGTAATACACACCTTCCATCCAGTCACCTCTGGAAAGCTCCACCTACGACTGCCTGAGACTTGAAAAGATATCTAGATATAAGCCATAATACTAGGGGATGTAATGAGTGTCTAACAAGAGGGGACACAAGGCAGGCTTGGCAATGAACATTACGCAAAGGATTCTTCATTAGTGAGGACTGAATGAATACATGAAGAGTGGACAAATAGCTCTGTAGGTGTGGATCACCACAGGCAGACCCCACCTGCACTCACACCCACCTCCCTCCTCCACACAGAGTACTACAGCTCTGCATGCTTCTCCTCTGCCCTCCTTAGCTCCTGGATCTTCTGAGGCAGTGTCTCCGTCCAGAACTTTAGCCTGGGGGCCTTCAGGGCACGGCCCACAGTAGGATTGATGTCGAGCTGCAGGTACAGCTCCTCATGATCCAGTGCAGGCCAGTGAGGCAGACCCTGGCCATTGGGGTTCCTGTGAAGATACCCTCCCAACGGGGTGAGAGGTCAGTTTGAGCCCTGGGGAATCCCACCCTCAGTGCCTTGCTTTGCATCAGGACCTATATATAGCAAAGCTGCCAAGTGTTGAAATAAGGAGAGCTTCTCCTGACACAGAGAACAGAGCCATCCCACTAGTGTCCCCTCCATGTGAGACAGGGCTACGGGTCCTGTTTTACCCCTCCCTCTTAGAGGCAGGCTGTGACGGAATCACAGCACTATGGCCCACCATGCAGGTCACTCGGAGGGGATGAGTGACCTGTACTGGCAAGGGCCCTCTCTGTGTCCACACAATTCTTGATCATGCAGTGGAATTAACACGTGACCTAAGGATGCACATGTGCTAATAAAGTTCCCACAGAAAAGTGGCGCGCCTGATGGATTCACACACCCTGTGATGATTGAGGTAGGGAAGCATCATCTCACCCATTTCGTGCAAAATTGGCCCAATATTTCATCATCCTTCTGTTTAGTAGCTCCTCCTCCTCAGTGAAGTGCACTGCAGAGAGAAGGAGAACAAAAGGCCAGGTCTTAGACTGTGGCTCATCCCACTCATCTTGCTGACCATCGATAAAACAATCTCATCACTCAGCTGTAGCCTGATCCTGGACACCAGGCCTAGTCCCTACTTCCCCACTCACCCTAGACCAGGGCCCTCCCCTTCGTTCAGCCTTTCTCATGTCAGCTTCTAGTCGAATGGACCCTGGGCTCAGTACTGGCTCAGAAGTTCCCTCCATCTGTGCAGCAGATGCACAGTACTAACAGACCATAAGTGGCACATGCTTCTTGCTTTCTCTGATTCAGCTTTATTGTTTTATGTCAGGAGTCAGATCGAAACCCTATGTGACTCAAATGGGCATTTCAGATGGTGGACTGGGTGACTCCAGCTCCTCCCCCAGTGGCTGCCTCTGAGGTCTAAGCCCTGGTCTGTGAAGTGGCAGGGCTCTGCTCAGTTACGTGTGGCTCAGGTCAATGTGACCCCAATTAAAATCCTTCCCCCTGAATCATGGCTTCTCACTGACCTGATGGGTAGCTTGCTAATTCCACCCGGTCCCAGTACTCGTTTGTTCTATCCAAGCGAGATAAACAGTGCTTCCTCCCTCACAGCCCTGCCTGGCACCATCATGCCAGGAGTTTGGCAGTATTTGACCAGATGCCTTCAAAGCATACCCTGCTCCCTATTCCTTTCCACGCTTGTGCTCAATAAATCCTGGAGGCGCTTGAAGGCCTTTGTCTTTGTTGCCTAGAATGGTACTGATTGGCCCCAAGACCCAGCTTTTTCTCTAAGTCTCATTTCTGATGTTTTTCTTTAATTAGCCTTATACTGTTGTGACTCACAGGAGACCAGGACCCACTGTAGGGTTCTGTGGTGACATCCTCCCTCCCGTTCCTACACATCTGACCCTGGTAATTCATTAAAGAAACAAGAATGCCTTTGAGACGGTCCCTCCTGCCCTTTTCACACATGCTGAACAACATGGTGGGGATCAAGATAGATGAAGGAGGGAGCACTAAGTGAGTCTAAGGGCTTGAATTCTAATCCTAGCACAGTCTCTTGAAATGTAAAATAGTGGACACTGATCCCATCCTCTCTCTCTTGGCCTCAACTTCCTCATCTGGACTGTAGATTAAGGCACAACTCAGGGACCCAGCCAGACCCCCATCCCTGCTCCTGGATGTGCAGGAGACTCACCTTGGTTGTCCCACAAGAAATGTCCAAAGACAAAGGGAATCTCATCGCCATGGTCTGCCTTCATGTAGGGTGGCCTGATGTTTTTGAGGAAGTCGGGAGGATGCTGGAATTCATAGAAGTAGACAGTGCCATGGGAACCTGAGGATGTGGACAGCTGTGACTTGGTGACCCCTTACCTGGAGCTCTCCTGCCTCAGCCTTGAGGACAAAATGTCTAAGTCCAAAGTTGGATGGAATCTGTGTGTGGTGTGGAGCCCCAGGCTACAGCAGGAACAATGGGAAGGGCCTTGGATAAGTCATGACCTTGGATTTTCCAGTTGAGTAGTTTGGGGAACTCTGAGGGTCACTCTCCTCAGTTTCTCCACTTGTATAATGAGAAAGATCTCTGTCTCTTACATCGGGTATGAAAACAATTTTTAGTGTATATTAGGTAAAGCGACTAGTGGGCTTCAAGTTGGCATATTTGTACATGCATATAACATATGGTGATCGTTCTCCCCCCATTTCCACCTTCTCTCTTTCTTCCTGCTTCCTCTGATTCCCTTCCATTTCTCTACTACTAGTGTCCCTTCTTTCATGTCATCCCTCCTTTTCCTCCATATTTCCTCCATGTAGGAAATATGTGATATGTGACACTCTGTGCATGGCTCACTTCATTGAACATAATGATCTCCAGTCCAATCCATTTTCTGTCAAATGATGTGAGTTCATTCTACTTTATGACTGAGTAATATTCTATTGTATATACACACTTTATCCTTTCCTCTGTTTATGGGCACAAAGGTTATATCACAATAGCTTAGCTATTACGAATTATACTGTAATAAATATGGCTAGGCTGGTATCTCTGTAGTATGCTGACTTTAATTCTTTCAGAATATACTGAGAGTTGTATACTCTCAAATACCAGTTAGACCAAATGATAGCTCTAGTTTCAGTTTTTGGGAGAACTCTTATAATGCTTTCCATAATGGCTACACTAATTTTATTTCCATCAATAGTGAAGGCTTCCTATTAGGCTATATCCTTAATTTTCATCAGCATTTATTGCATTTTGTATTCCTAAGGAGAAACACAGTATTCTTTTTTTTTTTAATACTTGGAACTGAACCCAGGGCCTTCACTCAGCTACAGTCTCAGCCTGTTTTTCTTTTTTTCCAGTATTGGGGATCAAACTCAGGACTTTGTACTTGTGAGGCAGGCATGGTACCACTGAGCAAAATCCCTGGCCATTGTTTTTCAATTTTGATTTGAGACATCTCACAAATTCATCAAGTTGCCCAAATGGCAACTGCGTCAGCCTCCCAGAGGACTGGAATTAAAGGAGAGGAAGATCTAGTATCAGTCTTTTACACACATATACACTGCTCACCCAGCACCATTGGCTAAACATATATTTTTGGCTCCTTTTCAAAGAATCACATTAATGTAGTTGTTTAGGTTTGTTATGGTATTTCCTATTCTATTCCACAGGGCTACGGATCTATGTTGCATTACTATCATGCTGTTTTTGTTACTAATGTTTTGTAGAATATTTTGATGTCAGGAATTACAGCCCTGCAGAATTATACTTTTTTCTTGATATTTAACCAGGAAGACTAACTGAGATGAAGCAGAGCATCAATAAAGATATAGGACCAGATCTTGAATCTACAGACCTCACCTGAGACTCACAGCTCTGAGCTACTGCCTAGACATTAGGTCTCAGTTACAGATGTACTCACAGTGAAAATGTGCTACTTGGAGTGCAGGAATCATGAACATAAAATCCCCCATCATCTCATGGAACTGGATTTTGAGGGCCTGGGGGTCCTTAATATCCCCAATGTACTCTTCCATGAACAGGTCACCAAACTCAGCAGGCAACATCTACCTCAGGCAGAAGATTGTGGAGTGTGAAGTTAGCCAGGTTTCAATGTTCAGGAGGGAGCTTAGGGTGGGAAAACAGCTGAAGGGTCATGGACTTGGGTTTGTAAGAGGGTGACCCCACCTAAAACCAAATACACAGTTCAGCTTTTGTATGATGGAATAGCTGCATGGGCATGAATCTGGGGGTGCCATATCTTGGGGTAGGAACACAGGAGCCTCACCATCTGTGCTGACATGCTCTGCAGAACAGTCCGCAGAGTCTCTCTGTTCATTTCCTTCTGGGTGTCAGTAGAGCCGAAAAACTGGACAATGGAGGAATGGTATGGAGTTGAGATCAGCTTGTACCTGTGTAACTCAGAGGACCTCTACAAACCAAATGCACACACCAAACTACTGGGACTTGGCCTTACCATAGGAATAACCAAGCCATACTCATCACTGTTGACTCCAATGATGCTAGGGACGGGTTGAAAATCAGCAGAGGCCAGCAGCTCCTGGGGGTGCCTGGGCAGGAAGGCCCCATCCACTACAGCAGGGATGATCTTGAAGGGCTGAGGGGACATTCACATCAGGGATCAAGGTCAGCTCTGAGATATTTTCTAATGCCCAATGACTTACTTCCAGCCCCCCTTAACGTGTACCAGAATGCTCACATCCACCTCATGAATCCCACATTTGTCTTAGGAAATCTTTGTGCACATTTCCCATCCAGATCTGCATGGACAGCAATGGATGCAGATGAGGTTATTATCCCAGAGTGAAAGGGACTCACTCTCAGACAATATCACCCCCTTCATCCACACCTGAGAACAACCCACCTTTGTAATAGCCAAAATCTCCTCTTCACTCTTGCCACGTAAGCATCTCACCATGGCTTCTGAGTCAATCTGCCCACAGCCAGACACGTTGGCCACCGTCTGAAATTAGAACAGACAGGAGATGGCTCATCCTTCTAGGCAGGCACAGGATGAAGGTGGGTACAGGTAAACCCCAAATTTCACAGTATATCCTGTACAAATTGCTGCCAGTATGAAATTCTTTTATCATCCATGTTGCTCAGAAGTCTCAGCCAGAGGGGCCATTTGTTTCCATGGTTCTACCCACAATGGGAGCCCCATGAGTTAGCTTTGCTGACCACGGAGCATGCTCAGCTTGTTAGAGGCAGAGTGTGTAGACTGTCACCCTCTAGGACCTCAGCAATTCCTAGGAAGGCAGCAGTTCCCAAGGCACTTCAACTGCCTTTGTTGTCCCCACTGAAAGACAGGACAACAGAGGCTCTGAATGTGAGGGAAGAAAGAAGGGTCCTGGGCAGGGGTAGTTGAGGGCACTCACTGTGTAGATGTTCTCAGATGAGCTAGAGATGATACCAGGCAGCAGGGCCACCCCACTCTCCATGATGGCACCATGGAAGAGTCCTTGAGACATGGGGGACAAGACAAGTGACGACACGCTTACACCACCTGCAGACTCCCCAAATATGGTGACCCCATCAGGGTTGCCTCCAAAGTGAACTATATTCTGTTGCACCCAGCGTAGGGCAGCCACTTGGTCCAGGAAGCCCCAGTTACCAGCGGCATGCTGGTCTTCAGTGCTGAGAAATGACAAGGACAGGGATCACAATCCTGTCTTGGCAACGCTCAGGCTTATTTCCCAAACAAGCCCCAGAATTACCTGAAGAACCCCAGGACACCCAGGCGGTACTGGATAGTGACCACCACCACATTCTCAGAAGCTGCCAGTTTGGATCCATCATATAAGGAAGCCATGCCTACAACCAGTCCACCACCATGGATCCATACCATGACCTGGGAAATTAAGACAGAGGCCATGTGGATTCTTCCCAGCTAATATGCCACCTGGCCTCCTCATACACTATTCACTGCTTAGACTCTGTGCAACTATCACATAGGACTCCAGTAAGATCACATACCTGAGACATGGCTGACAGACCCAAGTTCAATCATGTAGACCAGGACACTCACTTTGGGGTCAACCCCATGAATCCCAGCCTGGATCTATTACTGTCTGACCCCTGGGCAATGGAAAAAAGGCGGATGGGAGTTTCTGATATTCTCCCAGTAAAGACTACTAAAAATGTTATTTCATTGGCCCAACAGAAAAACCATAGCTAAGCTCTTGGGTGTTTTCAAGAGTTCTGGTCTCTGGTACCAGTAAGGGCTCTAAGACTTCATGCCTAGGAGTCAGTCACCCATCCTGTTTCAGAAGCCCTTCTTGGTCTCCATAGCAGAAGGCTTCACAGTAGGGTCCACACTGCAACAGAACCAGACTGACCATGTCCAATCTAATGTCATTCTCCTTCACTTTCATTTGATTTTGTGGTGCCTGGGCTTGAACCTAGAACTTTGTGCTTGATAGGCATATGTCTGTCATCAAGCCACATCTTTAGCCACCTTCTAATCTTGGAGAAGAAATGTCTTCCCAGACCTAGATGACCATGGCTTGACACTTACAGGCAGGCGAGATTCATCATGCACATGGGCAGGTGTATAGATGTTGAGGTACAGGCAGTCCTCAGCTACAGGGACTGAAGGAGTGGTCATATTAAACATCTTCATTATGTCCACATCTTGCAGACACCTGGGGGCAATGGCGGACAGTTATTCCAAGCCTTGTCAGAACCAGACCAGGGTACCTGCCCTGTCAGTTGTCCCGGTGACTATAGAGGCTGTAGTCTCCAAGGGGTTTGCACTACTGTCCTCCTAAGAGAGCTGCAGTATCTGCTGCTGAATCAGAGGTTCTTACAAGATTCACAGGTTAATCTGATCTCTTCCAGATACCTCCCCAATGTCATAGAACATGTGGCATAATCCAAAGCTGGAAAGAAATTTGTCTCAGCCCCTCTCTTTGGGACCTCGTGCCAATACCTTTAGCCTTCTAGGGCCCGAGCCAAGAGTCTAACATAGTTCCTCTACCCTCTGCAGCCTAGCATGTTCACAGTGGGAATCCCCCCCACAGAATGCAGAGGAAAATTGGCTGCAGGATTTAGATGGCAGAGCCACTGCAGCCTGACCCTGAGCTCAGGCACCCAACCCTTCTTTAGGGCCTGAATTTCCCCGCTCCCCAGAGAGCTTACATAGCAGGGTAGGAGGTTCCATCCCTCACACCACTCCAGGGCTCAGGGGCCTCAGGGGCTGCAAACCGCAGTGATCCTACAGGTGGCTTGGCAAATGGAATTCCCAGGAAGGTGTGGACTCCCACATCAGTGCCCTTCACGTGGACGAGGCTGCCCCGCACCTGCCCAGTGTTTGTGCTCCGGATGGGGCTGGCAGAGTCCAGGGCTGTGGGCAGAGAAATGCACATGAGAGTGAGGTCTGCCTGATCAGCTGCCTCCCACACTGTGATTATTGCCATCTCCTTGCCATCCTCAGCTCAGCCTTGTCAGAGGCCCTGATTTGAAAACCCTGGCTTCACACACATCCTGGTTGTCACACTCTCTTCTCATAATACCACTGACTGGTCATTAGCAGGTAAGGAAGGAAGTTGAACAGGGTGTTCCCAGGCAGTGAGTTCAGTGGTGACTCCTCCCTAGGGAAGGGTGAGGGAGATCATCAGGTTCCACATTAGGAGCCTTTCGGTGACAGGGTCAGAGTCTCCAAATACACTTTGTACATGGAGCCATACTGGCATCAGCTCCTGATAAGAGTCCAAAGTCTACTTGACTGTGATAGAGCAGACCAATCTACGCCCTTGAAACCAATCTATGCCTTTGCCCCATGTCAGTGACCTGGGGTGAAGAGATTCTCTAGCCTCTCAGTTCAGCTTTGGGATGTGGGGCCCAGGGGCTTCTGTGTCCTTCAAGACCTGCTACCTTGCCTCTGGAGAGTGCTAGGGCATTTTTCTAAGAGAAAGTCACACTCAGAGACAAATGACAAGGAGAAGTTATTGCTACCATTTCTGTTACACCCGAGAGCCAGGGCAGCTATAGCCATAGCCACACACACCCAGGAGGGAAATGTCCTGAATCCCACCCATCTCCAAAGACACAAGACTTCCCACCTGCCCATGTGTGCTCCTTAGCCATCCTCAGATTGGACTTCTCTTTGGTGTTGGGTGTCCTCAGGCAGTCCTGACCCTGTCTGTGCTTCTGGGGCCCAATTTGGGGGATTGGTTTGGGCTATTTGTGGGCACGCATTTCCCACACTGTCATCTGCCATCTCTACCAGCCTCTCCCTCCCTGGCTCTTCTCTCCCACCTCACTCCCCTCCAACACTGCAGTTTCAAGCTCTGCCTCTGCAGTCTTTGCCAGATGGGACTTCTCCACCTGGCATCTTCGAGAATCTCACCTTGGCCTGGATGTAGAATTAAGAGCCCACAGGTCACAGCCCTCAGCAAGGTGAGAAGCTGGTCCAGTCCCATGGTCAGTTTGGCTGTATTTTGGTGCTGCTGGAGCTGTACTCCCTTTCACCCACAGGAAGCCTGGGATCAGAGTCCTGCCCAGTCAGAGTTAGAACCCAACAGGGAGGAGGTGGGGCATCTGGTGAGTCAGGCAAGGTGGATGCTGTAGGGGAGCAGCACTGATTGGGCAGATATTGCACTGAGTCATTGGCCAGCAGGCAGGACATGGCCATCTGTCTTCAGTCAGCTCTTTTTGAAAAAAATTTTATTAGTATATGTTTGCCATTCATAATGATTGCATTCATCCTGGGGAATTTTTACCTGTACATAACAAATCTTAATTGTCCTTTTTCCATTCTCCTGCTGTCTCTTCAACTTTCCTTCCCCTCCTCAGTATACAAAAGCTTTATTTGCATGGTTTCCTTCCATTCTCTTCTTTATCCCTTTTTCTTCCTTTGTGTCCTCCTCCAACCTCCCCTGAAATGTCTGGCACCACAGTGACAACAAAGACATTGGTATGGAACCACATGGTGGGCAGTGGTTCTGCTCCTGAGCTATATCCCAAGACCTGTTCTAATCTTCTTGTAGAACAAGTTTCGTCCCAACCTCAACTAACCATGTCTGATACTCAGAGTCAGGTTACAATCATCATTGAAATGCGCAGGTGTGTATATGGTCAGGTACAAGCAATCCTCAATAGTGGGGATTAGACTTAGGATCAAATACAAAAGGTTCAGAATCTCTGTATTCATTACATCTGTATATGGCAGACACCTAGTCACAATAGCAGAAGGTTATTCCAGGCTTTGTGCAGTGGTCCAAACAAGAACCTGGGTTCAGATTTGCTCCAAGAAACCTTATTCTCACTGAAGCCCTGTTTATGCCTGATCCTTCCATTAAGTCCCTGCCCACCAAAACACAGGACATGGGGAAGCTGCAATGGACTATAGATTTCCAGAGAGACATGAAGATGGCTGAAGGCCTTGATTTTCTCATTCTTTCTGAAGCAGGGAAATTCTCACTCTTAGCATTTCCTAGAGACCCACTGGCTACAAGTGTTGACAATCACCACTTATCCCTGTACCCATTCAGCCTTGCATGGGGAGAAGCACCCCACAGGTGCTGTGTGGATGAAGGGAAGTTAATTGCTCACAGAGGAACAGTGGGGTGTCCCTCATACACAGAACAGACTCAGAGAACCTCATCTCTACCAGTCTTTAGTTATAAGAACATACAATTGTTTGTGACCAATAGCTTGGCCTGGAAGTTGACATAGTGACTGTGGAGGACAGGGTCCCCAAAGACCCAGCACTGTCACTCTCTTCAGGGATGTACACCAACTACTTCTGGATTCTGGGGCCCTTACAAGTTGACAGAGAAAATCCAAACCTTTCTCAGAGACAGTTCCTCTGTTGGCAGTGCACACCTGGCATAACCCAATTCTAGAGACAAATGTGTCCCCTGCTTTGTTCTTCATCACCTGGAGATAAGGCCTTGTTGTTGCCAAGCCCTTAGCCAGAGCCTGGCCGAGTTCTTGCACCCTCTCCAGCCTCAGCATACTCATTTGCGAAAACTCCCCACTGCAGAGGAGAAGAGGCTCTGGGGTTCAGATGAAAGAGCCACTGCAGCCTCTTGAAAGCACAAGGACCAGAGTTCAATCTCCAGTACCAAAAAAAGAAAGAAAAAAAAAAAAGAACCACTGCAGTCCGACCTAGAAATAAGAGCACCATGCCCTCTCCAGGGCATGAATTTACTCAATTCCCAGGAAAGCTTATGCGGTGAGGTGTGAGATTCCATCCCTCCCACTACTTCAAGGGTCAGGGTTTCAGGGAAAGCAAATAGAATTCCCAGGAAGATGTGGATCCCCACATTAGCGCCCTTCCCGTGGATGAGGCTGCCACATACCTACCCTTTATGAATGGCCCCATGGGTCTCAAAGAGACCAGGGCTGCAAAAAGAAAAGGCACAACAGGGTTGGATCTTTCAGTCAACGGTCTCATGCACTGTGGGTGTTGCCACCTCCTCGTTAGCTCCAGCTCAGCATTGTAAAGGGACCCTGATTTCCTAGGGACCACACTTCCTAGCTTTCTCACTCAGTCCTCACCTCTGTCGCTTGGCCTCACCCAAAGCTATCTCACTCAGGCTCCTTGGTAGTTGGCACCATTATTCAAGGCTAGGAGCAGCCAGCAACTGGTCTCAGGTGCTGAAAGGTGAAAGGGTCCTTTTCATTAACCTGCCAGGTCCTGTGAGGCACAGGGAGGACTGTAGGAATCGATTGACAAATCGGCCATTCTCAAGGACTTCATGCCTCAC